TATGGGAGACAGGAATTGGGCTGGCCATCTGAAGAAGTAAACAGATAAGACCTTACTTCAGGTAGGGAGGGTGGGGCTAGTTGAAGAACACTTTACGCAGGAATGGTTGTCAAGACCTTTCGGGATAGTGAATAGTCTCTCTCCCCAGCCCTTGACAAAGGCAGAAGGAAAATGTTCATACCTATGTCTTAAAATGTGAGGGGTGGATGCAGGCTGAGCAGTGTCTTAGTCCTGCCCTAGATAGGGTCATTGGCCTGGTTTGTATGTAATGCCATTACATGGGTTTCTTAACTCATGAATTAGCAGGACTGTGAGTAAGGGAGCAAGTCCTGTATACATGTTGCTTTCAGTTTACTTAAACTAGGAGCACCAGCTTTTCTTAAACTAGAAGTAAATTGTTTGATGTGTAATCAGAACTCTGGGTTGTTGCATTTGGTATTCAGCCAATTACCCAGGAAATCAGTTTATTGAACATAATTTCGGAAGTGTGAAGATGCTTACCATGTTGGCTGAGGAAATGCACACTCAATTTTTTTTGTTCAGGCCCAGGGAATACAATAAGAATAACCCTAACAATCTCATAAAGAACATTGACATGGCAGCCCTATGCAGTGATATGGCACAAAAATTCCTTGACTTAGAGAGGGTAGAAGTAAGCCTCATGGGATGTGCAGTCTTTCATTTTGTGGCCTTTACCACCTTAACTGTTTGTATTCTTTCCCCTCATCCCATAACTGTAGAAAAATGTATCTGAGGAAAAGACTTTGGCACCTGTCAAAAATGAACTCTAGTCCTTCCGTGTTTATGACATAACATGCTTGCTGCGTTACAAGATGATTTATTTCTGTTTCAGTGGCCTATCATGGCTGCCTCCCTGGAATAAAATGGTGCAGTGGGTCATTTAGGAAATTTGCCAGTTGAGATTGAAAAAGTGCTAGCTTACTTGGTTCTAACCTCTTGCAAGTTTATATTTGTTCAAGATGCTGTGATCACTTGAAGGTGAAGGAGTGGTTTGTTGGGGGAAAAATCAGTTTAATCAGTGAAACAAACAACAAAATCCTTTATTGCTATTGGGAAGATTGTTCTATTGTAACTGCTAATGCCTGTGTCTTTCCCTTGCTTCCATATGAGTAAGATTTGGGACATTGAATCTAGTTGCTAGTATTACAGTGGGTGTTTCTCAATTCTCCTTATGTGAGAATGCAGAAAATCCTTCTATGTTAAAGGGAAGTCTGTAACTATCTGTGAGCTTACTCCTTTGGGATTAATTTCAAAGATTATTGTTCCCTGAGTGCTTTGTATTTAACTGGTACTTGTCATTGGTAAGCTCATATAGTCCTAAATGGACATTTTCAAGTGATGGCAGTGGAGATGCTCTTTATGGGATTTTTCTATTTATTTATTTATTTATTTATTTATTTATTTATTTATTATTAACTTTCTAACCCACCCCATTAGCCATTCAGCTCCCTGGGTAGGTTACAACACCAAAATAAAATACAGAATAAAATTCAATATAAAACAGCAATTACAAATAAACATTAAAACCAATATAAAATGCACAAAATTGATGACAGTAAAAATAGTACTTAAAATGAGTTAACAATTAAAATACCATCAAAATAACAAGGTTTTTGCCTGGTACCTAAAAGAATGTAAAGAAGGTGCCAGGTGAACCATCTCAGGGGAGCTTGTTCCAGAGTCAGGATGCCACTACAGAAAAGGCCCTTGTTTGTGTCACCACCCTCCGTATTTCCTGAGGAGGGGGTTCCTTCAGAAGGGCCTTAGATGCAGATCTAAGGTGCTGGATAGGTTCATATGAGAAGAGGCGCTCCTTTAGATACCCAAGCCGTTAACACTTCAATCCAGACAAGACGGAGGTCCTGTTGGTAGGCGGTTCAGGCTTCGGAGAAGGTGAATTGAACCTTGTCCTGAACGGGGTTGCACTCCCTCCTAGGGATAAAGTCCGCAGCTTGGGAGTGCTCCTCGACCCGGAGCTTTCACTTGAAGCTCAGGTAACAGCAGCGGTGAGGAGCGCTTTCCTACAGCTTCGGCTGATTCATTAGCTGCGCCCCTATCTGGAGTACGACTGCCTCGCAACAGTGACTCATGCACTGGTGACTTCCCGTTTTGACTTCTGTAACGCGCTCTACGTGGGGCTACCCTTGAAGACAGTCCGGATACTTCAATTGGTTCAAAATAGAGCTGCCAGGCTGCTGACAGCCTGGACGTTATGTTCACATGACGTTATGTTCACATGACTCCAGTTCTCCGTCAGCTTCACTGGCTTCTCATTGAAGTCCGGGCCCAATTCAAGGTGTTGGTGATGACCTATAAAGCCCTAAACGGCTTGGGTCCTGGCTACCTGAAGGAGCACTTACAGCCATATATGCCCAGCCACCCCCTGAGATCGGCGGGAGAGGCCCTTCTCCGGGAGCCCTCCGTGAAAGAAGTTAGGAGGGTGGTTACTCGGAGGAGGGCTTTCTCAGCGGTGGCGCCTAAGTTATGGAATGCGCTCCCCAGAGAGGTCCGCCTGGCGCCGTCGTTATTTGCTTTTCGGTGCCAGGCGAAGACCTTTTTATTTAAGCAGCATTTTAAATGTTAATACCATGGAAATTTTATTTGGCCAGGGCGGCTTATTTTGTTCTAATATATATATTTTAATTGTTATTGTTTTAATTTATTGTGCATTTTATTGTATGTTGTGAGCTGCCCCGAGGCTTCGGCAAGGGGTGGCATAGAAATGTTTTAATAAATAAATAATAAATAAAATTGGGCCTGGACCTCAACTGGGAGCCAATGAAGATGGTAGAGGACTTGGTTTATAAGATCATATCTGATAGTCCTCATTAACATTCTAGCTGCTCTATTCTGGACCAGTGGAACTTTCTGGGCCATCTTCAAGGGAAGCCCCATGTAGAGCGCATTGCAGTAATCCAGATGAGAGGTTTCCCTAAGCCTGAACAAAAGCAATTGAGTATAGCATTTTTCTTGGTCAGGATCTAAAAACTTTAGAAACTATCTTCAATAAACTAATTTGTTCCTAGCCTGCAGAATACCAAAATTCATGATAAATTTTATCTTTGTTCTTTCAGTAGACTTTGGCTATTTTAACTGTTGTTCAGAATTTGCTTCCCACTGAACTCTTAAGTTCAGTAGGTAACACTTGTGAGCCACTAAGATAAATTTAGTCAATTGGAGCTTGATAAGCCTTGTTTGTCAAATTGCTGGGCTGCTTGAAGCTTTGCAGCAAGATGTGTAGAGCTGCTTTAACATTTTGCTTGACAGATTTATTATACATCCCTTGAAAAACCATTCTTACGCTTTTCTTGGTATTCCTAATCATGGCATGAGAATTTCTTCACTTAATTATTTGAAAAGTACAATTAGAACAAATGAAAGAGTGCCATACTGGCTTTGCTTTCTGGAGTTTAGCAAACTAGTTAAATCTGTGCTAAATTGCAGGTGTAATATTGCCTCATGGACTTTTGATGTTCTGTTAATAAAATAACTATTTTATTTCTTTATTATATTTTTGTACCACCCAATAGCTGAAGCTCCCCTGACAGGAGGTTTATCAAGCTCTGACTAGTTTTAAGTCAGTTGTTCTCAAGTTGGGCATGCTTATTAGATATTGAACTTAGACATGTAAAAAAGAAATCTGGTAAAGCTTACCAGTAACTTACAGGTGCATTTTCTCCAACTTTTTTTGGAAAAATTTTGCCTTGTATATGTATTTCATGTTAGTTTTCTGTCCCCACCACATACAATTTATTTCATCAAGAGCATATAGAGATCCTTGTTCTCAATTATGATTCTGTGGGCTGCTGATGAGAGGATCTGAAGACTGAGGATACATCTGAAAGAAGACTAAAATGGAACCTAAATCCTGCACAGTTGAATACCTGTAAAACAAAAGAACAGGGCTTCTTGAATTGAACTAGCATGAGAGAGCAAGTGTAGGAGCAATCACCATTGCAAATCTAATCTGGTAGATCCACCGCTAAGGAAAAAACAGGCTACCCATGCCTTGCTTGATGGTGTGGGAAGGTTTCTCTTGCTTGGGTATCGCTATCTGGACAGTTCTGGTTTACTTTCATCAGTTTGAGAACTATCAATCTACAGAATAATTCACACACTCCATAATTGGCCATAATTTGTGGCCCTGAGAAATAACTCTGTAATGCAAATGCCCTGTATTACAGAACAAAAAGGGGAAAAAACTCAGTTTGATGAAATGAGAAGTTTTGTTATATATTACTTTTCTTGCAGTCAAGGTAGTATACATAGGGCTACCAGACTGCTTTCATCCAGATGCTAACAAGGCTGAGATCTGTTCGGCATCAGTGCATCATGCTTCTTTGGTCCATGCCTTGAATTTCTTGTATTTCATTTCATGCCCTTTGAAGGAAGGATGGTGGGAAGAGGTGTATAGCGTTTCTAAATCTAAAGTAACAGTAAATAAATCAGGTATTACTTTCAGAGAGCATGTAACAAAGCAGTAAAAATGTACTGGGTGTTGTTGTGGCATACAGAGATCTTTATTCTTCTGAATGCTAATCTGCTTGTGGCTTTCATTTTTAATGTGATACTCACTCTGTATCAAAGTTACTTAACCATTTTTCTCATTTGTACAATTCATGGAAGCTGAAAGATCAATCCTCCTAGGTCTTTAATAAATTCCTTTAAGAAGTGGCTATGTTCAGGTTATTGTGAATGAAGCAGTACACCTTGCAATACCCCAGACACTCCTTTTTATGTAAAGCTGATAGGCATCCGCCCTTTATCTTTCTACAATTTATAGTCACTCCCCAAATGAAAGTGCCAACTACGCACAGGGCTTACTGCAGAAACTGAATAATTTGCATATGGTTAGGAGCTAAGCAGCTGTTGGCCTACTTTGCCACTAAATCTGTGTCCAAATTCTAAGTAATATTCCATGTAATATACCCTTTCTATGTAAAATTTTGTACTTGGCAGTTCATCTTCCTGACCACCTAACTGGCTAAGCACCCTAAATGGAAATTTAATTCCTCTGAAGATACTTCATACACTTCATGAAGAGGATTAAGCAGCATATAAATAAAATTGAAATTTATTGAGCAAGAATATACAGATAACAATAATTCAAAGTTGGAGAGGTAAGGCTACATAATATACTTTTCTGCCTTCTTTTTATATATGACAATCCTGAAAGTGTTTCGGGGGGAAAGATTACAGTATGTGCTTGTTCAGTGAGCTACAACGTTGTAAGAATGTGCATTCTGAAGTTTCAAACGACCTTACATTCATTTTTACATATTCTTTTGACCTTAAAGATGCTTGCCATTGTATTTTATAACCAACCATACATGCTTTTAAAATCCCTGTGGCACCTAGCAACAATAGAAAATACATTCGAACTAAAAACCATCATAGTTCATTCCATAACAGGGAGGTTCAATTCCATAACAGGTGGGTTTCAATAAAGCATTGACTAATCCTGGAATAAAATTTATATTTTCCCTGAAATGCCATGGCTTTATATAACCTTATATAAAGCAAACCTCTGTGAGTATAATGTATTTGGCTATTATTGTTTTTGTTTTTTGGGAAGCATGTATTTAAAACACATCTCAACTTAGCTTCATATCCTGTGCGTGTTTCCTGCGAGAAAATTGGGCAAGGAGGGAATTAGTCTGGTGCTTTCGCTGCTATATCCCTCTGGTGGCTGTATGTATTTCTGCTGGAGCACAAGCTGCTACCTGTGCAGTAAACCTGGGTTAGAAGCTAAGACTTCTGCCAAACAAACAAACAAAAAATCTGTTTTTGAAACTTCAGTATCATCACAAGGTTTTCAGAATGAAAATTGAATGGAGACATCAGGATTTAAATCAGAAACAGATATCAGTCAGAAGTGGGGAAGATGGCTTAAGAATGGGAAAGTGAAAGATAAGGAAGGTGGTAGTGGTGGTAAGAGACCGAAAAGGAGGTGATAATTACTATTCTTGGTATGTTGCTACTTAGGAGTGGAGAGGGAGGAGGGGAGAGGAGGCCTGGGGTAGATTAAATCCAGAAATTAAGAAATGGCCATTCTGGGGCTATGGTTGGGTAATCCATCAGGCCAAGTGAAAGGCCTTGAGTCTTAAGTGTTCCAAGCTCAAGCTCGAGGAGGGTGTCATCTAGCAAGAATTCAGGATAGTAGGGGTGGCACCCAGCTAGCAGGTCCAAGAATTAATGATGCAGAGTATCTACTACGGCTCTGAAGATCTTCCAGCATTGCTTTTATATGGTGGCTCTGGCATACTAAATGTAGAATTCAAAGTTGTGAAAAACTAGCTTTCCTGAAGCCAATGCAGACTTTTAAATGTATTTTCATATTTGAAAGGATAGCAATGCTCAGGGCTTTTAACTCCTGGATGAATGTCACAATTGCACCTGGAATAAGATTGTGGCTCAAAATGTTGATACTTTAGGATGTCATCCTCTTTCCTTTTTAAATAGGACTGATCTGATTCTGTAATAGCTGTAATAAAATGAAGATTCAGGATATTTCCTTTCAAGACCTTTGAGCTTACACATGTGCATCTTGCTCACCTGGTGCTTTAGTATTTTGACAGTTTCTTCAATTAGCTGTTTCTTTGAGTCAATTGCCTGTAGCTAAATATGAGGCTCTCACTTTGGCTTAATTTGACATGCTACCTTCCCAAATGCTTTTGAGATGATATGATGGTTATCCTCTGGCCTTGAGGATTTGTATGTATGCTGCCCATGGGGTGGTATTGTGGAAAATGTTCTTTTATTTTATGTAAAGACTGCTTCTTTACCAGGCAGATCATTCCAATTTTGTGTTCAGTCTCTGCTGCTAGTAAAACTCTGATAATGTAGCCAAGTTTTTGTTAGTTGGCAAAAGAAGAGGGTAGAAGTTACTGTGGCACTACCATAGGGTTTCTGTTTTTATGCACTTGAATAATTGTTTATGTGGCTATATTTCATTGTGTAAATATTTTTTCAATGCTATCAATTTTGGTTTGTTGACCACAATAAATTCTATTATTCACATATGAAATTAGATCACAGAATAAGCACATTAAAGGTGTTTGAAGATAATCAAGTTGAAAACTCTTTTCCGGGGGATATTCTTCCAACTATTAACCATACCTTTGCAGTCCACTTTGGCAATTCCTTGGTACAGAGTGGGAGCGCACCCTCCCCAGTGTTGACTTTTGAATCTATAGGAAAAACTTTAACAAAATAATGATTATCATATTTTGTTAGAACTGATACCAAGATCTTGAGTAAGAATAGAACTAAAAGCATCCAGCAAAATAGAGATAAAATTGATTAATGTAAATAATGTTTTTGAAGAGACTCCCATGTCTTCAGTTGGAAGACACAAACTTTTTTTAATACTTGACTTGGACTCCAGATGACTGGAGAAGGGCTAACATCCCTATCTTCAAAAAGGTGAATCTGGGAACTACAAATTAGTTGGTCTGACATCAATACCTGGAAAAGTTCTGGAGCAAATTATTAAAAAAAAATCCTTCTGCAAGCATCTTGAAGAAAATATAGTAATTAATTGACGCCAGCATGGATTTATCAAATATTAATCCTGTCAGACTAATTCAGTCTTATTTTTTGACTGGGTAGCCTCCCAAATAGGCAAAGGGAAGACTCTGGACAACTCTACCTAGACTTTAGCAAAGCTTTTGACATAGTGTCACATGACATCCTGAGAAGCAAATTAGCAAAAACTGGACCAGATGGAAAAATTATTAGGTTGATTCAAAGTTGGCTGCTGAATTGGACACAAGTGCTCATCAAAGGCACCTTCTCAAATTGGATGGAGGTAACTAGTGAGATGCCACAGGGTTCAGTTCTGGGCCCAGTGCTCTTCAACATCTTTATTAATGATTTGGATGAGGAAGTACAAGGAAAGATAATCAGATTCGTAGATCATACAAAACAGGGTGGAATAGCAAACACCCTAGAAGACAGAATGAAGATCCAGAGCGATCTTGATACACTGTGCTGAAAGCAACAAAATGAGATTCAATAAGGACAAGCGGCAAGTCCTCCACCTGGGAAAAAGAAACCAAATGTACTGATACAAGATGGGGAATATGTGGCTCAACAGAACTGAAAAAGAAAAAGATCTTGGAATAATTGTGGACAATTAGCTAAATATGAACCAAAAATGTGTTGCAGCCGCCAACATTGCTAATGTTATTTTGGGATACATTAACAGAAGTCCCAAAAATTTTGACATTATTTGAAATGTGAATATCTGACTAACTACATGTCCTAGGCAAACAAAATTAAATAGGCTTTATGTTGAACAATAAAAGATTTATTTATCAAAATTCGAACAAGAGATTCAAAGGGATGTAGATTTTACCAATTTCACAAATCTTCACAAATGTTCAATATGCGCACCACCTGTGACACAACACACATCAAGTTGGTAGTCCACCTCCTGCCAAACACGTTGTAGCATGTCTTGCGTAACATTGCATAACTAACATTAGTTAGTTTTTACACTTTTTGTTAAAATTTGAGATATATGAGCAAGAATTGGCTATGTTATTAGACTACGAATTGATGTCACCCTGTATTACTTCCAAAACATGAGAAGTAGTAGTTCCTCTATACTCCTCGCTAGTCAGACCTCATCTGGAATATTGGGTCCAGTTCTGGGCACCAAGGTTTAAGAAAGATGCAGAAAAATTAGAAGGTCCAGGGGAGGGCAACATAAAATGATCCAGGGTTTGGAAACACTGCCTTATGAGGAGAGACAGAGAACTGGGCATGTTCAGCCTTGAGAAGAGAAGACTGAGGTGGGGACATGATATCCCTCTATAAGTACCTCAAAGGCTGTCAAAAAGAGGAAGGTCAAGCTCTCTTCTTGCTAATACCAGAGTGCAGGACACAGAATAATCAAGTCAAGCTGTGACAACCCAGGTTCAGGCTGAACATCAGAAAAGTTCTCTCACTGTCAGAGCAATACAACAGTGGAACCAGCTGCCTAGAGAGGTGGTGGACTCTCCCACACTAGAGACATTCAAAGGAAAACCAGATAGCCTTCTAGTGGGATGGTATAAGCTGGTGTCCTACAACAGCAGGGGTTGGACTCGATGGCCCTCATGGCCCCTTCAAACCCTACTGTTCTATGATTCTATGACTCAGAGATATATATTAGTATGGACTTGAGAGGTTAATTAGGGAGAGACCAATGTTGTAACTCTCTAGGGTGGCCTTATACTATTTCGACAGATGTTGCAACCGCTGTTGTCATCTCAGTGTCAATAAGTAGATTGTTAACTTGCTGTTTTGCCAGCAGACTGGCACATACATGTATATGTGATTGTGTCACATCCTCAGAAAAGTTGCTTGACTGGCTTTGTGGAAACAAAATGTAATGCATTTTATTTTTTTAAGCTACTGAAAAGGTATTTTTCTTTTTTATCACAATAATTATTTTTGATATTTAAATTTGAAAATAAGTTCTAAATTCAGTTGAATTTATTGACATAGGGAAAGCTATAGAGATTGCACACCAAAAGTGGTATTGTTCTGCTTTGCTAAAATAAGCTTAAGGGTGCAATCGTATGCACATTCAGATAGAAAAATATTCTACAGTGTCCAGATTTCCCAGTCAACCATGTGTTCTGCACATTTTCTGCCTACATGTTTACACAGATAGAGGATTGTACTTTATGGTATCTTTTATGTATAATAGGAATAAAAGAATTTACATTTCTTTTCTCTTTGAACAAATGATACAAATGATCTATGTAGAGCTCTCTTATAGTTTTGACTTTTTATCTTTTGTAGAGATGCAGGAAGAAGATAGAAATGAAACGGGTCTCTTTGTTGCTTCTATTATGAGCAGAGTTAGAGACCTAAAAAGCAAATATAAAAATGAAGACAATATTACAGATGAGCTTAACTTGACTAAGATATCAGCTGATACAACCGGTATGTGGTATTTTTAAGTTAATTACCAATGAATTGCTTCCATCAAATAACTGTTGTTCATTCTTTTCATTTTAAGTAGTTTTCCAGTAGCGATGTATTTTTGTACTGGAAATGTTGGATTAATTAATTTCAAAAGTGCATACTACTTGTTAGGGTTAGGGTTGGGGATTCATTTTGGTTGTGAAGCTCTGTTTACTCTCTTGGCTGTAAACACCATTGAACTCAATGGGTCTCTTTTTTGAGTTGCCAGACACAGGATATACTGCTAATATATCAGCTGAGACACACTTCCACATGTTGGAGTCCAGTGATGATATTTACATATAGGCATGTTTGTTACTTGTATAAAACACAAGAGCTTTTGGTTTGCTGATTTAAATCCTTCTTAGAACCTTGTTTCTGTGATGCCACCTAATGATTGGTACTATGATTTGTGAACAGAAAACTGTTGGAACTCAGTTGGCATTGGGGTTCTGTATAATGGTAGAAACAAAAGAAATATTAAGATGTGGATTACTTTTTTAGTTGTATGTGTAGCTGTTCATAGATTAGACTGCTTCTATAAAGGGAGCCAGTGTGGTGTAAGTGCTTAGAGTGTTGGACTGGCACTCAGGAAATTTGGGTTCTAGTCTCCACTTGACATGACTTGGACCAGTGCTGACAGACTCTCAGCCTAGCCTATTTCATAGAGTTGCTGTGAGGATAAAATGGAGCTTTGTGAACTACTGTCTTGGCATCTTATGAGTGGAAATATTACTGCAACATTACTAAGTGCAATGTAGTGAGGATGATGAAGCATTTACATGGGTGTTGGACAAAATCATAGCATCTTGCTTGCATGATTTTTTTTCTCTGTTTTCTTAGATAACTCTGGAACTGTTAATCAGATTATGATGTCTGCAAATAATCCTGAAGATTGGTTGATATTTTTACTGAAATTGGAGAAAAAGGGGAATCCTCAGACTGACACTAGCTTATTAAATCGGTTGATTGGTCGTTATAGTCAAGCAGTTGCAGCACTGTCTGCAGAGAAATATAGCCAAAATGAAAGTTATGCTCACATTTTGGTTAGATTTGCAGAACTGAAAGCGTAAGTATGGAAAACTGACAGACTTGGATAGATGAGTACACCTTTCCAGATTGTTCCAGCTTCCTTATAATAACTGTCACTTGACAGAACACACAACATGGTTCTTGGTATGTTTCTAGAATGGGGGCCTGGTCAGTGTCTGTTAACAGGCAAGATATAGAGGGCTATTCTTTGGATTTGTAGTTTGTGCAAAGGAGTGGGGGAAATAGATTATATTGCACATTTTGGTTGTATTAATGGCAATGAACATATTAACTGAAATGTATCTGTACCATGTCTAGAATGTAGCTTCCTTTGTATTGAAGGATATATTGCATGGTTCTGAAATGTGGCAGAAGTCAAAATGGAAAAGTTCATAGTTGACAGACTTGTCAAAGCTATATTCCTGTATTTGGGGATATCTGTTTGTGTTACTTTAGCTTCTGCTTTGCCCTTAGTTTTTAGCTACAACTGACATATTCTCTCTGCATAAATTAATGTTGTTGTTGTTGTTGTTTTAGCATTGAAGACTTGGAAGAGGCACGTGATCAGTTCCATCTTGCTAGACTGAACTGCAAGAAATTTGCATTTGTCCACGTAGCTTTTGCACAATTTGAACTCTCACAAGGTTTGTAGAAACAGTTATCCTAGTGCATATAGGATAACTTACCAGTGTTAACTATGGAGGTATACTAGTGATACCTAATATTACTTCTTTGAAGTAATAGTTGTATTAGTGTGATAGACCTTAGAAAACAAACTGTTGAACCTGTAGCAGCAGGCTGAATGTAGGATCTGACTGTTGAATTATTTTCCATTTTCTAGGGTTTTATCCAGTCTTACTCACAGTTCTATACATGTTTGGCAAAAAGTCCTACAACTCCCAGCATCCTCCAGCCAGCATGTTCTCTTGAAACATGCCCCCATTCTCCTATAATCAAGCCCAATTAAGACTTGGCTTGGTTTGGAATATGCAATTTTGTTTTCCAGATATGCAGATACTTGCTCAGTTAATAGAAACATCTAACTTTCTTTAAAAGTTGATTATTCACATATATATCTCAACTCCATTTCATTTTCCCTCTTAGTTGATAGAAGGTTGAACAGATCTTTTCTGTCCTTGTTCACAGCTAACTGTATCCAGAAAGTATGGTACTGAAGCAGAGTGAGTGTGTTTGGAAAGGGCAGCTTAATTTTGCTCCCCTTCCTATTGAATCTTGTCGGTCATCTATTCCCATCTACTTTCAGACCTATTCTACCCAATGACCCATGCTACAAAATAGTGAAACAGAGGAAAGCTGGAGGATTTACATGGCTTATTTGAAGATCAATTTACAGTTGATTGGTCATAAGAAGCCACTTTGTAATGGACATGAGCATTTTGTTTAAATCTGAGTTAAGGATAATTTTTGTGGAGTTAGGGCAACTTGCTTAAAATATGTAGTAAATGAAAAGGAAGGCTAGCCTTTCTGCCTGAGATACTCTATCCCTTGTTCAATATTTCAATAATGAGACTTTAGAAATATACATTCTTTAATGTTGAAACAACTAAGAAGTAAATACTTAATCAATTGAAAAGCATTTAATGATTTTAAAGTCCTTATCTGAGGCGTGCGTCCAGTGTTGTTTTCCCCTACCTGACATTTAAAGATGCAATGAGTAAATGGAGAAAATACACACAGTTCTTCTCTCCAAAGGGTCCACATGCATCTGAGCATGTGCTAAGTACATTGCCAGATTTTTCTCTTGGAGTAAATTCTGCTATTTGTTTTCTTATTTCTAGGCCCTCTGATTTACTAGCTCTTTCTTAAGTAAGCTAAAGGGTTTTGTGTGAATTTTGGGGCCTAAAAACAAAACCCGGGCATTCTTGAAAGGAAAAATAACTTGCTGAGTAAGCACAGTGGCTGGGGGAAAAGATCTAACAGCTTAGAAGGGATGCTATTTTTAAATTATACATTGTATTCTCTTTCTCTTCCAGAAAGCAAAGCTGATTAATCGTTAATTTTTTTTCTAGGAAATGTAAAAAAATCTAAACAGGTGCTTGAAAAGGCTGTAGAATCTAAAGCAGTTCCACAAGAGATGTTGGAAATTGCTCTTCAAAATTTGAGGTTACAAAAAAAGCAACTACTTTCTATTGAAGTAAAAGAGAACTTGACAGGTGAGTCTTAAACTTGAGATCTTATGTGTATTTTTAAATTTAAAAGGCAGGTAATTAGGTAATCCTCACTCTGCTTTACAGTTAACTTTGAGGAAATTCCAACATTGCTATGAACTCATGTTCCTCTTTGCTTTTAGGTATTCCGTACAATTTAAAGAAGAATGTTTCATTAATAAGTAGCTTGCTTATATTAATTTGGAAAAGAAAGGCTCTCAGATTTAATCATCTTATTGAGCAATAATTTAGTAATTAAAGATTTCATTTAATTGTGCTCACAATTAAGCATGCTGTTGAATGCTGTATGTTAATGAAGCCATTAAAGTCTTTCAGGAAATGAGAGTGTTATCCAAATGTTATCCGAACAAGTTGATAAAAAGTAACACAAGTTTGCTCCCCCCCCCCCAAAAAAAAGGCTAGAAAAGGATGCAAGAAAGGAGATATAGGAGCATATGACTAAAATGTCTCATAAGCAATAACAATTCTTTATATAAGTGGGAAATATTTTGGGTGGTGATTGTTGTTGTTCAGTTGACTCCATGGACAGCATTCCTCCAGGTTTTCCTGTCCTCCACCATCCCCCAGAGTCCACCCAAGCACACACCCACCTCTCCAGTGACCCCATCCAGCCATCTCAACCTCTGCTGTCCCCTTCTCCTTTTGCCTTCAATCATTCCCAGCATCAGGGTCTTCTCCAGTGAGTCCTTCCTTCTCATTAGGTGGCTGAAGTATTTGAGCTTCAGCTTTAGTATCTGACCTTCTAAAGAGCAGTCAGGGTTGATCTCCTCTAGGATTGACTGATTTGATCTCTAGGTTGGTGATTAGACAAGGGAAATAAAGGTATGTGAAAGAAGGATAAAAGTTTTTCTGAGATCTGTATTTATCATTTGTTGCATTTATATCCCACCTTTCTTCCAAGATGATTTATATAATGTAGGACAGATATTTATGAATGAACTGGTATTTTCAGGTTGGGATTTTGATGGCTGAAGCAAATAGTGGTGTTGAGGTGAACTTCTAGAGTTTAATAAATATAGATCATAAAGTTCAGTATTTAGGCATCTGAGAGTTTGTAAAGAACTCATATGTGAAAGTGTTGGTTTTTAACAAAAATAGTGAAATGATCCCTAACTTTGGCTTCTGTGGTAGAGGATAGGGGAGCAGCCAGTGCAACACCATTTTAAAAAATTATTCCAGGAGATTAAAAGGGCAGCTAAAATGATCAGGAAGTGGGAGCAATTTCTCTGGGAAAAGATGACAACTGGGATTGTAAAGCTTAGAAAGAAGGGAAATCCAGGTAGACTATACAGAGGTGTATAAAATTACACAATTTCCCCCTTTCCTCCCTTTATAATAATATTAGAACCCAGGATCAT